CCCCGCGCGCCTTTCAGGCCTGACTTAGAGCAAGTGCTGCCTGGATGGCAGAAACCCAGGTGTTCCACTGCTTGCTCACTAGGCTATGCTGTTTTGACTTTTCCCTTTCTCATTTTAGGTCTTCAACTATGTGATGGCTATTCTTGATCTGTCTATTTTTCGGACTCAAATCGTACTAGAAAGCTTGGTAACGGACCTGAAAAAGAAAATCCCAGCTTTAAACTTCAGCCCATTGGGACCCAGTGGGAAAATCTCCGTGCAAGGTTCATTTCTGGCTATCATGAAGCTCAAACAGGCTTTGATAGCAAAAGCCATCTCCGCTTCAGAAAGCAACAGGAAGGAGGATGCCGGCAAGAGGAGAAATCACAGTAGACAGAACCCTGGAGGCGTCCTACAGGGCAGGGAGACCTCTGCAGCGGCACTTGGGACCTCTGTACCTGAGTCTGCCAGAAGCCAAGCGACGCTTGTGCTTGATACAGATGTTTTCCTTTACCTGAAACACAAGTGTGAGTTGTATGAACTAACACTGAACAAATACCGGATCCTGTGTCAGGAGAGCGTGGATGGTGACGTCACCACCATTTGTCTGCAAGATGCTCACGGTGGGTCTCGCCCTAGCGGCATCAGACACGTGAAGGAGCTCATTGAGGAGTGGGCCCAGGGGCTCCACCTTGAGCTCAGAAAAGAGACACTGGTTTTGGAAGGAAGGGGAGAGAGAGAGAAAAGAAAGATTAAGCAGGCTTGTGAACAGCTGCGTTACAGATATCTTGGAGTTTTGGTTAATCCTCACCACACACATATCGACATTATAGGACCTTCATCCGACACGTTCCTGTTTAAGACAGAGCTCATGAAATCCGCAGGGTAAAAGGTCACCTGAGGTCTCAGCCACAGTTGTCATGGTCGCTTTCTACCTAACTGAGAAGTGACTGTGCTTGCCCCTCATTTCATCCAGATTTTATTGTGTGTATCATTGTCTTCATGTTATAGGAGAAGAAGGTAGGATTTAGGGAAATTAAAATACTATCCAAAGTTACCCAGCTGACAAGGAATGGGCCTGGCATTGAATACAAAAATAGTAAGTACCTAAATCAAACTGAAAAACAAAACAACAACAACAACAACAACAAAAAAAACCCTCACTAAACTTGGAAGAAATCTCACTTTTCCTGCAACTCCAAATTATTAGGAAAAGAAGTTTTTCCGCTGACAGAGGTTTGTATGATTACCGTGCTGTTGCTAAGTTCTCAGGGTTTGTATTTACTCCCCACAGCATTAGAATGTTGCCTAGGGTCACTTGGGAAAGTGGTGGTTCTGTTAGAATTGTAAGGAATCTTTGGAGAAATTTGTGTGCTTGCTATTGTAGACAATTCTTGTTTTACAACGGTATGCCAGTCAGATACGTGTTGTAATTTCAAAACATGGTGAGTCAAAAAAGTGCCTTTAACCCATGTAACTTGCAGAACATCCTTACTTTGCTACACTGTCTGTGGCAGAGAAATGACTCCTTACCCTGGCTGCTGCGCTGATTGACAGCTAGAGCTCACCGTTGCTGCTCAGCATTGCTAGAGAGCATTGCGTGGTGCGTCACTAGCCTGGAAAAGATTGAGTGTCTGAAGTACTGACCATGTACTCCTTTTGCACCATAATAAAGTAAAACTTACAGTAATATTAAATTGTGAGTTGAACCATCATTGAGCCAAGCAAGGATCATCTGCATTCTGAGCATCTGTGATCTTATTCCTCAAATGCTGTTACTTGAACAGCACGATAATAAAGACAAAGAAAGAAAAGCTGTAGTGATTTGTTTCCAGGTCTATGATTCCCTTGAAGTTAGCCCCAGAGTAAGGCAATTTTGCATAATGGAGCTCTGCAGAGCTCATCTTGGTGTAATAAATAATAGAACTGTATCTGTTCCTCTTAAGGTGGACAAACATGATTATGATTATTTTAACTATCAGTAGAGCATACAACAAAATCGATTTTGTCCTTATTTTCCTTTGCCATCTAAATCCCAAATGTTTAAATCATTTCTGTTTCCCTACAATATTTCTGACACCAAAATGCAGACAACAATTCCTAAACTTGACAAATGAGACTATGTCAGTCTGAACAAGATTTGTGCCTCAGAGGACGTGATCAATCAAGTGAAAGAATGCTTTCATTTGTTCGGACTGCTGTAAAAGGTTTTGCAGGATGATCTAAACAATAGGCATTTTTCACAGTTCTCAAGACTGGAGTCAAGATCAGGGTGCAGCCATGGTTGGGCCATGATAAGGGCCCTATTCCTGGGAGAATGCAAGAACGCTCCTCCATCTCTTAGAACATTAATTCCATCAGGAGGGCTCTTCTTCATGACTCAGTCACTCCCCTCAAGGCCCCGCCTCCAAATACCCTCAGTCACTCCCCTCAAGGCCCCGTCTCCAAATACTGTCTGTGTTAAGTTCCTGTGGCTGTGACAAAATGCCTGAGTAAATTCGCAGGAAGGAAAGATACAATGTGGCTTACAATTTCAGTCCATGGCTACTTGACCCCATAGCTGGGCTTGTGCCAAGGCACCCTTGTGGTGAGGAGGGGATGGCAGAACTAGGATGCTTGCCTCATGGCAGCTGGGAAGCCAAAGGAGACAGGAGAGGTTTAGGGACAGCATTACTCTCCACTCTTCAAAGAACATCACCACTGACTCCACCTAGGTCCTACCTTCTGATAGTCCACTCAGTTATGAGCTCATCAGCTGATCTGTGTTGACAATAGCACACTTAGGAGCTGTCCATCGCACTCTCAGCTGGGGACCACGCCGTCCACATAGGAGTTTCCGGGAGTATTTTACAACCAAACCATAACATCACGTTGGGATTAGAATTTTTAACATACGAGTTCTTAAGAGGACAAATATTCAGCCTCTAGTAGTCAACCCTGGACCTCAGGAATTTATTTCCTTGTCAAGAGCCAAATGTTTATTCTAGGATTGGAGAGATGGTTTTTGGGGTAAAGGCACCTGCTGTTCAGCCTGATGACCAGAGTTTGATCCCTGGGACACATCGCACATTCTTTCTCTTTGACGGGACACACACACACACACACACACACACACACACACACACACACACACACAATTTAAAAAACAAAACCCATGGTGGTTTAAATGAGAAATGATGTCCTCAGTGGATGGCACTGTTAGGGAAGGTGGTGGAGCCTTGGAGCCTTGCTGGAGGAAGTATGTCACTGGGGGTGGACATTGAGAGTATACAGCCTCTTCTACTTCCAGTTTGCTCTCTGTGCTTCCTGCTTTTGGTTGAAGGTATCTCTCAACTCCCAGCACATGACCCATGCTTGCTCCATCACTGCCATGCCTCCTGGACAGCACCAACTCCCCCTCTGGTACTTTAAGCCCAAATGAACCCTTTCTCCTGTAAGTTGATTTTGGTCATGATGTTCTAGAAGAGTAACAGAAAAGTAACTAATTGCCCCCAGATCCACACGTATTCCATCTCAACAGCTCCAGAGATTTTAACTGCAATATCTTAAGATGCTTCCAACCTCATTGAAATCTGACAGCAGTGAGATTTGTGTAATTGTGTTGTGTCAAAATTCCTTTCTAGCTATGAATTTGGGAAACCAAAGATGTTTCATGCTTCCAAAATGAGAGGAATAAGAAAAGCATTCCCATTCCAAAAGGTAAAAATAGGAGATGAGGAAGAGGCACTAGGTCCTAAGAAATGTAAAGGAAGCTGCTTGAATACAGTCTTCAGTTCACTGCTCTGCCTTCCTGGCCCATGGGGCCAGCAGCAACAAATCTCACCAGACAGCAAATAGCCAGTCCTTTGACTTCAGATCCCCAGCCTCCAGAAGTGTGAGCAACAAATGTCTTTATTAGTAAGTGACCTAGTCTCTAACATTTGTTATAGTAGTCTGAGCAAGCTGAGAGAGGCAGAGAGGAGTGGTTTACCTACCAGTCCAGGAATAGCAAGGGTTTCCAGGAGTCACCTGGAGCTGTGAATGGTAAGATGAATTCCTCTGGTGTGGAATATTCCTTTACACTGTGTGACTATATGTCACTGTGATTGGTTTAATAAAGAAGCTGACTGGCCAGTAGCTGGACAGGATAAGGCTAAGCATAAAAGCCAAATTGAGGATGCTGGGAAGAAGAAGGGGGGAGTCAGGAGTCTCTAGCAGAGACAAGGAGAAGCAAGATGGGCATGCTGTATTGAGAAAAGGCACCAAGTCACGTGGCAAAGCATAGACAAGAAATATGGGTTAATTTAATTGTAAGAACTAGCTAGTAACAAACCTGAGCTATTGGCTGATCATTTATAATTGATATCAAGCCTCTGTGTGGTTACTTGGGAGTGGCTTGTGGGACAGAAACTTCTGCCTATACCCTGGCCCTGAGAACATACCAATTCTAGGCCTCTAAGTTCCAGACAGCTAGAGAAAGGACTCTTTGTTTTAAATCATCATTTGTGGTAGCTTGCCACATCCAACACAGGAAATGAGTAGACTCAACTTTCTTTTAAAAAAACGTTGGTGAGAGCCCCCATCCTTGCAGATGGTTTTGGGTGTGGGCCCTTGTTTTTCTTACAAGTTTTCTTACTCTGTTCTCCCCAGGGTATATCAGAACACATGGTACAGACTCAGTATTCTGCAAACACTTAGGAAGCATTTGAACAAGTTTTATGATCCATGTACATTTACGCAGGGCTATGATGACTGATTGTGGTTGTCAACTCAACTGCATCTAGAATCAACTAAAACCAAAACAGCTGTGCACACCTGTGGAGGATTTGATTGGATTATTTGAGGTCAGAAGACCATACCCTAAATCTGGCCGCACCTGGTGGCAGCCCACAGAAGACATGGAGAAGGAAGCTTTTGCTTTTTGCCTGCTTCTCCTCACTGGCAATTTCATCTCTCCTATTTCTGATGCATTCCATTAATTAGCGTTAGAACCTACTTCTTAGGGATTCCAAGGTAGACTGAAGGCTGACAGCTCTCTCTCTGCCTTCTACTTTTGGATAAGGATGTGAGCTAATTACCAACCCAGTGCCATGCCTGTCTGCCTGCTGCCATGCTCCCCATCATACTGGTCTAACCTCTGCAACTGTGTGCCCTAAATTAAATGTTTTTTATAAGTTGCCTTGGTTATGGTGCTTTGTTATGGCAACAGAAAAGTAACTAAGACAAGGACTCTGCCCTTAGTGTCTGATAAACCTGTGCTCAGTGAGCCAGGAGTATTCTAGGTTTTTTTTTAATCATGTAGTGTGTTCTCTCTTGTCAATGCAATATTAATATTGATTTTTTTTTTTACTTTCTTATTAGAACAGGTCTGTATTTCCTATTTACCTTATTTTCTCCAATGCAGAGAATTCTCCCTGGCAAGACAATTGAGAGTAAAAGGATGTCCTCGTCTTTCTGTCCTTGTCAAGCTGGTTGGTCCGTGCCTACTGCTGTGGCCAGGCACCAGACATGTTCTCTGGACTTACCTGTCTCTAGACTCAGGTTCCCAGGAGACTTGCCGAGTCTGTTTCCTCTGGCATTTGGTTGTAGTCATCTGTAAGAGCTAGTCAGGAACCCATGCTGTCTGTGAATAGTCTACCCGTCAGTGCCTGAGATGTTAAAACGTTTGCATCTGTAGAAAATCCTCTAGAGCATGTATAGTGTGGCAAGAGTGCCCCGCAGTTAACTTCTTTCGCATCATTCTGGTAAAGTCAGAGGGCAGGATATGCCTCCCCTTGTTATTTTAAGTGAAGTACAGCACAAGAGGAAAGGGGGTAGTCAGTGTTGCACAGATCCAGTCAGTGCTGAGATGCTAACTTAAAGCAAAGCTGTCCAGGACATACTTTACTACAAGCATCTTTTGAGGCGTTCCTACAAACCTGTTTCAAATAATGGCTAAGTATTTTCAGGCCTGTGTATGAGAGTGGAGAAGAACAGCTTGCTTCTGATGGGTAATTATTGAAAATACCTTTCTTCATTTTCCCTGAGAACTGCCTTTTAGAGTGAAAATCCCACATATTCCTTCCCATGTTCCTTAAGTTGCCACGCATTTGGATTCTGTCCCTGGATCACCCCTTTCCCCATGCTCTATGCATTACCCTTTACTTTTGAGTAAAGCTTCCTTGTATCTTTTGCAGTCTGCGTGCACCTTTATTCATAAGTTCCTTGCAAAAGATGTGGTGTTGGTTTTAGTGTCAACTTGCCACAAATTAAACATCACCTGGGTAGGGATCATAACATGAAGAATTGAAGACCACATGAGAAAAGGAAGAAACAAAGTGCTAAAGAGGCCCACAGAAATCCACAAAGATACCCCCACAAAAGACTGCTGGCAATGGTCGAGAGACAGCTGGGACTGACCTACTCTGGTGATGGGATGGCCAAACACCCTAATAGTTGTGCCAGAAACCCCATCCAAGGACTGAGGAATCTGGATGCAGACATCCACAGCTAGGCCCCAGGTGGAGCGCTGGGAGTCTAATTAGCGAGAAAGAGGAGGGTTTATATGAGCGACAGATGTTGAAACCAAGGTTGGATAAGGCACAGGGACAAATACCCAAACGAATGGAAACACATGAACTATGAACCAAAGGCTGAGGGGCCCCCAACTGGATCAGGCCCTCTGAATAGGTGAGACAGTTGATTGGCTTGATCTGTTTGGGAGGCATCTAGGCAGTGGTACCAGGTCCTGGGCTCATTGCATGAGTTAGCTGTTTGAAAACTGGGACTTATGCAGGGACGCTTGGCTCAATCTGGGAGGAGGGGACTGGACCTGCCTGGACTGAGTCTACCAGGT